TCTGGACCAAAGTGGTGGAACGACACTGCCGTCCTTGAGTCATGCTGCTAGCGTGGCTTAAGTGCAGCATTTGAGATGGAGTCTCATCAGCTCTCCACAGAGAACCATCCTGTCAGACATGTGCCATTGGTTTACCCCGAGCCTGTGTTCTCATGTTATGGTTCCAGCCAAAGAGATGTGAAGCCTATTGTCCTCACATGACTGACATTATTAAAGAGCAGCCTTCCTCATCGAACTTCAGCACTGCTTTAACTGCTTTCTTGATCTCTCTGACTCTCGTGTCTCGCTCTTTTGTCACCATCTTTACTGCGTTTCACTGCCTCTCCCAACACTTTGTCTTCCTGCTCTCTGTCTGTGGTGTTTTGGATTAGGGACTGTCTTGGTTGGAAGATGTTGTGTTTGAAATGGCAATGTGTGTGTGTGTGTGTGTGTGTGTGTTGTTTGTTGTGTGTGTGTTTGACTGTGTGGCATGCATTTGTGGAAGTCTTTGTCTTTGTGCGTATGAGTGAGGGGGAGTATGTGTGTGCAAACGTGAAAGATTTACATGTATGTAAATGTGTGTGTGGGCATGCAAATGACAGACAATAGCAGCATAAAACACACAAGCTGAGACAGTGACACAACGTTTTCACAGACGCACAAAGACGGTGACGACTGTCCATCATAAATCAACTATTCTAAGTATCACCCTGTGAATAGGCGTCCGGAAAGTGACACAACGGCCACGACAGTGTCATGAAAATTCTTTTCACATTTCCTGGACAGTAACGGCAGAGCGTGAGCGGGAACTGCCCCTTCGAACAAGAGTCCCCTCTGAGTGAGGAGAAAGGGGTACATTGTAGGCCAGGACCCAAAGGTCACCATGGCTGTTAGGCTCACGCTCTGCCTGGATTCCCGCTGACTCACTGCTGGTCCAACCAGAGGACAACGACCAGGACTAATTTGTGTACGTCTTGGGCCACCATTTGTCAAACATTAGTCACGCCGCCCATTTAGGTGATGAACATGAAGAGTTCTGTTCTCCAGACACACTCTGGGGCCCAAATGTGGATTTCTCAATCCCAGTGTGACCTGTTGTGATTGCACTTCCTCTCCCTGCAGTGTCCCCCCTGCTCTCTGCCTGTCTCCAGTGTCTGTTAGAGACACTAATGTCAGACTTGGAGGATTCATCACCGTCAGAGGGCTAACACTGAGATGCCGACTGGCTTCCACTCAGCTGATAGAAGAAGATTTGCTTTACATAGGCTGGAAATACAATCACACAAGCATACAGGGCTTAATAGACGTGCAAATATGGAGAGATAGCAGAGTGACGGGCTGCCATGTTACGGCACCCTAGGAGCAGTTAGGGGTTTGGTGTTCAAGGGCTCCTCAGCTGTAACCAGGAGGTGAACTGGCACCTCTC